ATGTTTCTCTATAGGTTTAGTTGTTACTTGCTCACTTCCTCTGTCAGAAACATGAATGAATTTTTCTCTGATCTTTAGAGTGAGAACTCAGTGGAGCTGTTGGTGGGTAAACTCATGGTTGGGTCCCGGGAGTTTTTATCTCTCAAGCTAGTCAGTGCTTCATCTTCAGCAATTATTTAATCACCGTTTAAGTGTTCCTAACAGGCTCCGGCAGCAGCTCCTGCTCCTGGGAAGCTGTGATTATCTGTATTCATCTGTCTCTCCACTTTTCAGGTCAGTGGTTTGCCCTGTCACTTCAGTTCTCTGATGGATTTAAGAGGAGCTGTGGATTTTCAGTTTGTTCAGCTTTTCTTTAAAGCAGAAAGGATCATCCCAAACTTTTGCATGTTATACTGAAAACTAAAAAGTACTTTTTAGATATTATAGAGTCGATATATTTAATAGGAAAAAGAGTTGTATTTAATAATCATTAGATTCTCTTCCAGGTCTGATTTTTTTCTAATTCTAACAAAATTTGCCCCATAACTTCAAGCAGTTGCATTAAATACTTCTTTGACATTGCACTTTTGACACAATATACAAATGGGATGGCGGGATGTCTGGATATAAACCATGAGCGTGATGTCTTGGCCTCAGCTTACCACTTCTGATGTGGTCTAGAAAAAGTGCTTTGTATCTCTGGATCTCAGCGTTTTCACCTGTGTAATAGGTAATCAACTTAAATTGCAATTTGCAGGAGGCCGCCCATTGTCTTCACTAGCAGAGAAGTGTAAACAAGGATCCCGGAAGGCTGGTGACCCTTGAACCCACGTCAGGGCCTGAGTTATACACCGATTGTCTAGTCCTGACAATGGGGGCTCAAGCTATTTCCTGACCAAATAGTCTCAGAGTAAATCCTCCTAATATGTACTGACCTTTATGATAGCCTGTCTGTTACTGCAATTACCTGCCTGATTAAGGGTTTTATGTTTAACCAAAGTTGAATAAAAGGTTGGCAAGGCCTGAGCACCAGCGGAGGTCCTTCCCCTTGAGTTGGACTTGCCCGCCTGGCCCCCCAATATTTCCAAATTATCTCTTGTCTCTTCTCTTTCATTTGTGTGCGGCTCCTCTTCCAGATCCTGAACCCTGAACCATGCAGGACGTGGGAAAAACAAACATACACAACAATTAACATGGACATTCTGCTATAGTAGAGGATGAATCTTTTTTTTAAAATACAGTATATTTTTATTGATTCCAGAGAGAAGGGAGAGGGAGAGAGATAGAAACATCAGTGATGAGAGAAAATAATTAATCAGCTGCCTCCTGCATGCCTCCCACCAGGGACCAAGGCTGCAACTGGGCATGTGCCCAGACCATGAATAGAACTGTGACCTCTTGATTCATAGATCAACACTCAGTCACTGAGCAATACTGGCTGGGCTAGGAGATGATTTTTTAAAGGATTCATAGCAAAAATGTGCCTATTTTCTTGCATACAACCTTAGTTCTTATACATGAAATACTTTGTTGGCATTAAACAAATAGCTATTGCCAGCAGTGAGTCAATAGATTCTGTTAGAACATGAAAAGTCAGTCAGTCAGCTGGCTATTTGGGCTATCCTGCTCCAACAAGGTAGAATTTTTTCTAATTTACAAATTTGAATATATTTTTATATGAATTGACCAAGCAGATCTTTTGTTACCATATAGGCACAGAATGATTCAACTACTGGCCTGCATGAAATAGACATATCTTCTATACTTTCATCTCCTAATCAATTCAGATATCATTTACTCAATGTATATGGCATGTCAAATACTATTTTAAAGTTTGGAAATAAAGATATAAAAAACAATATGCAAGTCCTGAAAGAGTTCACAATTTTGTATGAAACAGAATCATACAAGTGAAGTTAGGTTTCTGAAAGTTATACCAGAGCTAGAGAAACTGATTTGAAAGTCAACCTATAGATGCTAAATACAAACAGAAATGTGGATGAGTTCGACCAAAGAATGGCACCTTGAGACTCCCCATTATTTAAAGAGGCCCAGTGACAGGAAATACTACTGAAAAGAAATATTCAGAGAAGCAATTAGAAAATTAAAATTTTGTCTTTGTTTGAATTCCAAAATGTTGTCTTTGTTAAAACCCTAAGACAAGGTTTGAGTGCAGGAAATTTATCTGGAATGATCCTAGGAGGTAGCAGTATATGAGTGAAGAGGTGAGTCAGGGAAGAGAAGAAACCCAGTAAAGGTTGCTTTATGGAGTGTTATAATAATGTTATGGTCATAAGGAAACCCTTCTAGTGTGTGGAAATAATTATTGTGTGAAATAATTAATGTGTGAAATGTTTGCTGTGTGAAGACCCCAATACTCTGTAACTTCCAAAATTAGTCATTGTAACTTCCTGCTGTTAGTCATTGGTTAGGGGTGGTTCTCAGGGGTTGTTAATTCCCTGACACTACTGGCCTGTCACAAAATGTGGTGAACGCCCCACTATCTTGATGTGAATGCCCTAAGCCCTTACAGCGTAAACACCCTGCTCCTAGCAAAGGCACACCGTCTGGCCCACACTGATAAGACACAAGTTGTTTACTACTGGCTGTGTAAGCACCAGATTTTTCTCCAGTCGATGTCTCCTGCCTAATGAGAGGAGGACTCCACGTCACTCCGTGAGACAAGCCCCTGATTGACTGCTCTGCTGTGTGAGCCTGAACCAACTGTGGCCACCTGTCTGTCTCCATCTCCGTCTTTCGGTGTGCACCGCCGGCCTTTGCTGAAGCCTAGGACCCACTAGGAATAGGTAAATAAACCTTGTGATTGCATACTAATTCTGTCTTGTGTGTTTACGTGTTCCGGTTTGGCTTAGCTGTCTAGACATTGAAGTACCAGGAGAGAGGCTGTTATTGCTGACTCCTGGTCACCTGCGTTTGTCCCACTAAGTCTAGACCAGCGATTCTCAACCTGTGGGTCGCGACCCCTTTGGCGGTCCAACGACCCTTTCACAGGGGTCGCCTAAGACCATCCTGCATATCAGATATTTATATTAAGATTCATAACAGTAGCAACATTACAGTTATGAAGTAGCAACGAAAATAATTTTATGGTTGGGTCACAACATGAGGAACTGTATTTAAAGCGCCAGAAGGTTGAGAACCACTCTAGACAGGTAAATAATTAATTAATTGGGGCATAATTGGGACATGGAGCAATGTACAGTTGTGAGCAACTGAAGCTCAACTTTACTGTGGAACTCGGAGCCCCAGTGCAGATATGCGCTGTAAATTTGTCTTGTCTCTGGGGTACAGGGGCTGAAGTATCTGTATAGCAACTGCTGTTAGTCATTGGTTAGGGGTGGTTCTCAGGGGTGGCTAATTCCCTGACACTACTGGCCTGTCACATGTGCATTGATGGGTTCCAGTGGTCAGAGAACCCTCAGGCAAAAGTATCTGGTGCTGGTGGTAGGAAGTCTGGGCTGTCATACATGGGAATGCTAAGTGCTTATGAGCTATGGATGAAACATTCACAGCACCTGTTACAGTTTAGTGCTGTGGGGATCACGGGAAGAGAGAATTTCTGGTAGGCGGGAGTAGTGAACAGTGTCCAAAAAGACTGAGAAATCAAATAAGTAAAAGAAAAACTGAGAATGAGTCATAAGCCACGGGGAAGGTGATAATAGAAATGGGAAAAGAAAGTAAGATGCAGGAAGAGATGGAATGAGGGTGTACGTGTGTGTGAATATTTATAACTGAAATAAAATATGCACACAAAGGCAAATTAAATAAAATTATCATTAAAAATAAAAATACCCTTTTATGTTTAATTCCTATATCGGCGTATTCAGGAGACTCTCCTGGAACTGCTAAGTCTGGCGTAAGCGCCACTTCTTTTCTTTCCAATACACCCTTTGCTTATTTTTATGGTGGAATTTACCTCACAGACTCCAAATTATTCATTTACTGCCTATGCCGGGACGGCATCAGACAGAGACACGTTAGGGCTCCATTTGGTTCATTTGCACTATCAAGCTCTGGATTACTCTGTGCCCAGCAATCTTAGGACACATGGATAGAAACTAAAGCAGCGTCCTGGGGGATCTACACCTGCCCACACAGTGTCCATTCCAAACAGGTTAGTCACATCCTGGACGCTTTCTCCTGACACAGTGAGGAGTTGTTGCATTACAGCCCACCATCCGAATCCAGAGTGACTGCTTTCCAGCAATCACATTTCTCCTAAACAGGCTCTAGATGGAGATATTCATCTACTGTTCTTTTGTTTTCTCAACAGCTGAGATGAACAATAGACTCAACCACAGAAAAAGTAAATTAAAATTATTCCTCATGTTTAAGTCCCTCAACGACTCATAGGAATGATTTAGGGTGTTCGGTAAGGCAGATAAGATATGGGAAATATTTTTGAATTGTTAATCTGGATAATTTATTAAAGTGGGAGAAGGTGGGATGTTACCTCTTTCCGTACATGCACATTTTCTAAATAAGGTGCAAATCAGCCGCCTTTTTATATGGAATAAACTTAATCAGAAATACAAAGGAGTCCAAACATTTCCATTTGTTTTTGAAAATCTGCATTTCGTAAACAAAGAGGGGGAGTAGCAAAGTCAACCGGCCATACTGAAAAAAACCAACATTAGCAAATGTTTTAGTGTAGATATTTGTTTGTGTAGATATTAACAAATTATTATTATTATTATTATATATTATTATTATTATTATAGAATAATCGCGTGGGTCACTTTCCCAGTAAATGGGCTATTCTGCACCCTGAGTACCTAGGTTTAGAAAAGGAAAATTAATTCGGACATGGTCTGATGGAAGAATTAACCAACTCCTGACACTGGGCCAGCATTAAGGTCTCTGAGCTTCTGTTTTCTCCGCTGTCCAAAGAGGCAAGTTCTCTCTGCTGTGCCCGTTCTACAGACTGGGATTGTGACGGAGCGGAGACGCTGGAGTGAGTCTGGCCAGGCGGGGGACCGGCCTCTGCCTGGCGCCGCGGGATGGGCCGCAGGTACCCCCGGAGGCTGTGGCTGCTGCTCCTACTGGCCGCCGGCGCCGGGCTCCTCCTCCTCCGGGGCTGGTACTCGGGAGCCTGGCCCGAGTCCGCAGTTTGGGGTTCATGGCCAGGGAGGCAGAAGCCCTGTCCGCGCCCCCTGGCCGCGGCCCTGCAGGGGCGCCCGCGCTTCCAGCGGCTCTTCAACCTGTCCACCCCCGTGCTGCTGTGGGGCGGCCTCCTCACCCCGCAGCTCTGGGACGCCCTGATCCAGCTCTGGGGACCCTACAGCTGGCGCGGCCTCCCCCGGGAGGCCATCGCCTCCACGCTGCGCCTCCTGAACGGCTCGGAGAGCGCGCAGCTGTTCCCCGCGTCCCAGGAGCCGCGGTGCCTTCGCTGCGCGGTGGTGGCCAACGGAGGCATCCTGAAGGGCTCCCGCCAGGGCCGGCGCATCGACGCCCACGACTATGTCTTCAGGCTCAATGGTGCGGTGATCACAGGCTTCGAGAAGGACGTGGGCACCAAGACCTCCTTCTACGGCTTCACGGTGAACACCATGAAGAACTCCCTCTACAACTACGGGCACCTGGGCTTCCGCTCGGTGCCGCAGGGACCGGACATGCGCTACATCTTCATCCCTTCCAACATCCGCGACTACCTGATGCTGCGCTCCGCCCTGTTGGGTGTGCCTGTCCCTGAGGGTCGGGACCAAGGGGACAGGCCTGAGGCCTATTTTGGACCACATGCCCCTGCAGGTAAATTTAAGTTACTGCATCCCAACTTCATCCACTACCTGAAGGAGAGGTTTTTGAATTCCAGCCACATTCACACAGATGCCAAAGGCGTATACATGCCTAGCACTGGGGCCCTCATGCTGCTGACAGCCCTGCATACCTGTGATCAGGTCAGTGCCTATGGATTTATCACAAAAAACTACCAGAGCTTTTCTGACCACTATTTTGACCGAGAAAAGACGCCACTGAAATTTTATCTGAACCATGATCTGTATCTTGAGGCAACGCTGTGGGAAGACCTCCACAACGCTGGCATCATTCAGCTGTACCAGCGCTGACCCCGACGGCTCCCAGCCCTTTGCGTCTCCGTATAAAGCCTTGGCTCTCATCCTCTCGGTGGCTGAAACCGTTTTCTTTTTTAACCTATGAGAGGAGCTCCATCTTTCTCCCCTTCTTTCCAAAGTGGGGGTGTGGAAGATGGGAAGGTGGCTTCATGACTCTCACCAAATATGAGACAACGGGATCTTGCCTCTGGCTCTTCCAAGAGAACTCCCCTCTGGATCTTACATTCCAACCTCAGCCAAGGAAAAATAGACACCTCTGCTGGATCCGTTTTAAAATGAAAAATAACATTCCCAAGGAAATATGCTGTACCTTAGCTCGCAGAGGCAGGCATATCTGTGTTTAGCATCATTTAAAAAAATAATTATTGTTGAAAGTTTTACATATGTTCCTTTTTTCTCCCATCGACCCCACCCCAGGCCTTCAGCACCCTATTGTCTGTGTCCATGGGTTATGCATATATGCATACAAGGGCTTTGGTTGGTTACCTCCCATCCACCCACCCTCCCCCACCTTCCCTCTGAGATTCCGCACTCTGTTCCATGCTTCCATGTCTCAGTGTTTAGCATCTGAAAGCCAGCATTTGGTTTCGTGATACTTTTGGAATGCCAATTCAGCCATTCCAGACCTATCACTGAACCTAGATTAAGCAGCAGTAGAGGCAAAGGCACAGTGTCTAACCCAAATCGTCCCACTGGCTATGTCAGGATTTCACAGAACACTCCAAGTCTTCAGCAACTCAAGGATAAGTCTTAAGAACCTGTCTGTAATATGTTAATTCTCTGAGGACATGATCAATTTGCTTTTGCCCTATGGGGAGTGGAGACTTTTTGTCTGATAAAGTGGGAGCACAGAAAAGAAGCAGAAAAGACAATGCAATTTGAGTTTAAATAATTATATAAATGACAAAAAAGTCATTTGTGGGTTTTCTTTTTTTCCATTAAGGATGTAGAGAAAGCATATAAAATGCAGGGTGAAGGGTGAAGATCACTTAGAAATCAAGAATCTGGTGAGGTAGACAGAGGGTTGAGAGAGGAGAGGGATGTTGGGGGGCTGGGTGAAAAAGTGAAGGGGTTAAAGAAGCACAAATTGGTAGTTACAGAATAGTCACAGGGATGAAAGTACAGCATAGAGAATACAATCAATAATATTGTAATAACTCTCTATGGGACCAAGTGAGTACTTGAAATATTAGGGGGACCACTCTGCAAAGTGCTATGCTATACATCTGAAAATAATGCAGAATAATATTGAATGTAAACTGTAACTGAAAAAAAACAACACCCAAAACAAACAAAAGAATCAGGAGAGATTTCTGGGTATTTGATTGGAGTGTCAATAATACTGAAGACTGCCTACCACTGGAGTAAATACCATTATAAATTTATTACCATCTTGTGACAAAAACCAATGGGTTAGGAACCCTCAGTCAAGTCATGATTCCAATCAATTTGAACTGAGATAGTCAATAATCAATTTAATGGTTTTAGATGGATTAGAGCTGTAACTTCTGGGCTTTTATTGAGACTTGGTTGCTTCCCAGACTGGTTTAAGGAAGTCTCATCCAACATATTATCACCATACAGCCTGTTTAACCAAGCCTTGTGACAATGTCTTGATAACTGTAGCTATGGACAGCCTATTCCACTATACCAGGTGTTTAGCTGACAAGAGACTTTCCAAGGGAGCCTTTGCCTGGAAAATTCACCAAGGACCAGCATCTGGCCTTCAGGTCTGTGGTTTTGGAAGACAGAGTTTATCAACAGTAGGAATGAATGAACTCAACAACTAGAATCAAGAGAGTAAGGTTTACGTAAGTATAATAAATTTACAGAAAAACCTGATAAGCAAACAAAATAGGTTGTGAGAGTGTTGTAAGAGACATTACAATAACCTTTGTATGTTAAGAGAGTACTCAGGACAGGTCTGACCTAGCAGTAGAAGCTCAATTCTTGGAAATAAGGAAGTTGTAGATCTAACCCCTTGATCTGTTTTCCTGATCTTGAAAAGCCTGCTGATTTTGAGTGGGGTTGTTTTCCTGAGCAGGATGCAAGAGTGATTTCTTTCCCAGGCTCTTGTCCAGATGGATTCCAAGAATGAAGCCATGGACAAAAGATGGTAGATGAAATGGTGGAAATTTATTGGAAGGAAATACAGACTCCCATGTAGGGAGGGGCCCTGTTCCCAGGGGGTAACCCACCAAGCTCTTTTTTGCTAAGGTTTATAAGGGCTGCAGTTCTTTGTCTCTTGATGCTCCCTTCTTATTGGTCACTATAGAAGCTTCAAAGCCCCAAACCACATGGTGCCCTCCTCTTTCTCTCCCCCTTCAGTGGTAGAATTCTCTATCCTCTGTGAAAATCTGTTTTCCTCTTTCTCCCCATACCCTGTGGCTTTTCCTATCTTCTGTGAATGGATGTCATCCAATCTTCTTATCTTGCTGCACCCCCTTCTCTCCCCCGCCCCCTCCTCTATGAATGTATGCCTTCTGGCAGTTCCAAGCCCTCACCTATGCACTCCTTCCCCATGGACCCTCTTTATTCCTAAAACTCCCTAAGCCTGCCTATTTTATCCCTAAAACTCCTTTCACTTTTTATGTCCCTTTGTTACAAAAGTAGGTGGGTGAAGCCCTAAAGGCGAAGCTGTCTGTGAATATAAAGTGCTAATGTAATTAGCCAAGGAGATTGGTTTGTTCAAAGAAGTTCAAATTTCCTGAAATTCTAGTGGGTGAGACTCTTCTTATGCTTTTCAAATTTCTCATTTTTAAAAAATATATTTTATTGATTTTTTTTACAGAGAGGAGGGGAGAGGGATAGAGAGTTAGAAACATCGATGAGAGAGAAACATCGATGAGAGAGAAACATCGATCAGCTGCCTCCTGCACACTCCCTACTGGGGATGTGCCCACAACCAAGGTACATGCCCTTGACTGGAATCGAACCTGGGACCCTTCAGTCCACAGGCCGACGCTCTATCCACTGAGCCAAACTGGTTAGGACTCAAATTTCTCATTTTTTTTTTATATGAGAAAACAAATAATCAAGATCTCACACAGTGGTTCCTTATTCTCCACTGTATGTGCTTCAATTATTCTCTTTGCTATTCAGAGCTCTCCTCAGCATAGAGCGGTCTGGCCTTAAAACCTGTACTGCTCACTCCAGGCAACCTTGTCTTCACATAAATGTACTGTGTTCATTTATTTCTCTTTGCATATATATTTTTTTCTGCTGTGCCTCATGCGATCATCTCTGTTCCCTCTGCTTAGCCAAGTCATATCCATCCTTAGGAGCCACTCAACTCATTCAAAGCAACCTTCCTTGATCACTGCAGTCATTACTGGGCCACTTTTATTTTGAATCCTTGAAGCACTTATAGCTCAGTACACATAAATTGCTTTTAAACACATTATCATGTATTAGTAATACTATTGCAAGTGCATTAGCACTTTCTCTCAAACCAGAATGAGAGCTGGACCGTATCTTGACTCATGCCACTTTTGTACTTGTCAAAGTGCTTAGCACTATTCTTCAACATTATGTGACACATTTTTCTGTCTCAGGCTATTAATGGCTAAGACTGGATCACTCTAATACTCCTTCACTACAGACATTGTTAGTTGCTAACACTATATAACATGGATAGGTGAGGTCATAACTTGAAAACAGACAGAGGGAAAGAGAAAAAAAGGATCAGCAAGTGGATGAGGCCAGAGGGACAGGAAAGGGCTGGGAGCTGGGAGGTTTATGTGTCAAACAGCTTTTTTTAAAAAAAAAATTAAGTTTTTAATTTTGTTTCAGAGAGCTGGACAAGGCATCTACATTCTAGCACATCTTTCTATTTTTAAAAATATTTTTGTTGATTTCCAAGAGGAAGGGAGAGGGAAAGAGAAACATCAATGATGAGAATCATTGATTAGCTGCCTCCTGCACGCTCCCTACTGGGCATTGAGCCCACAACTTGGGCATGTGTCCTGACCTGGAATTGGACTGTGACCTCCTGCTTCATAACTCCACATTCAACCACTGAGCCACAATGGCTGTGCACATCTTAATTCTCACTAACGAAATGAAGGATTACTTACTTATATATAAAAAGGTAAGAGAAAAAGGTCATGATTGTTTAATAGGGAATTGGAATCTCCAAATAACTTATCTTACAAAAAATCAAACTTATCTTTTGACACACTTTTGTATTGGGAAGAATGAAGAAAACAAGTTGAAAAGAAAAATCTTTTTCTTGTATAGCAAGTTGAGAACATCATTTTTCTACCTTAAATAATTCCTTCAAATATTTTACACAAATTTACATTTTCAAAAAAAATAAGTCAAATATTTACACTATGTTTGCTTGCTCAACTAAAATTCCATTTATCAAATTGACATTAAACTGGACTGCAAATTCTATCCTGCAATTGGCATAAACATGTCACTGAGGCTGGATATGCACAGGTGCATGTTACATACATGTGAAATTGCTCACACCACTATGTATACTACTTCCATAAGTAGTTTTATCTATAAAATTCTTTAGATAATATGATTATTGTAGACACTTGCTCAGGCATTTTAAAAAAATGCAAAAATTATAATGCTGTTGGGATTTAAAGACTATTGAACATAAGATAAAAGTCAACACTGTTTACAAAATACCTGAATATGAAGGACATATTTAACATACCCCTGTGAACAGCACATGGTGAATGTATATTATAGAGTTCTGGATTATATAGGTCTGTTTCTGTTGTTTTATTATAAATTTTACATGGTTTTAGATCCTTAAAAGATAGAGACTTAATCCAATATTATTACATTAACTCTTTGTTCTAATCACCAACTTTAAAATAAGTACAGTGGGAGGGTATAGACCTTAATATACTTGTAGTTTTAAGGCCAATCTAATTTTTATTGTTATGCAATATTTTAATTAACAGATGACACTAATAAAAATGACTGTATTATGGTTTTGTCCATGACATTTAAGTATTTTATTACTAAAATATTCCAAAATAAACCCAGTAAATATTTACTATTTTCAATAGCCTGAGAGGTGAATCCAACTAT